GGATTAACAGGACAGACACAAACACACACAAGCGCAAAAGCATCACAATCATACCATATGGCGATCAATGAAGTGGTTATTTCTGAATCTGGCAGTCATCCAGCTAAGAAAACCAAAATCTCGAAGGCCCAGAACTCCAAGCTTGCATAATATAAACATACAGTATGATTCATGAGTTTAGAGTGATACATTAAACTGACTTAAGATTAAACTCTCTAAAAGTTGTACGATCTATATCTGTGTCTGTAGTTAACAAAGGCATTGCAAATGGAAATGGGTGAAGTGAAAGGTGACTAGAGGAACATACCATACCATAGCAGCAGAGGGAAGAGCTAGTTTCAAGACAGAAAGGATGTAATGAAATGAATGAAAAGAGAACCCTTTCCAAGTGTGCTTGAACTTCTTCGCATTCATCACATACAGTCCCAACAAAAACATGGATACCCAACAAGTGATGGAAAGTGCAATCGGAGCACCCTTAAAACTCAAAGATGTCAAATGGACTAAGGCATATGCAATGCCAATATGAACCATCAGTGGAAGAGCTGAGAGGACCACTAATGGCAACACAACAGATTGCGTTTGAAGGAACCTCAATATGTTTTGAAGGATTCCATATGCAAATAATCCTGGGATAACAAACTTCATATATAGAGAAGCTGTGCTTGAAATGTCTTGAGATTGATGAAGCAAGATAAAGATAGATTCTGTGTAGCACCAAATGATGGATATAATGATGGAGAAGATAAGGGATATGATGCAGGAGGCTTGAAGATAGATTCCCAACATTTCAAATTCTTTTGCTCCAAATCCCTGCCCGCATAATGTCTCTAGTGCCCCACTTAACCCAACCTGAGAGAAGAATGAAAGGCATCACATGTTATAAGAACTTGTTTCTTAACTATTACGCTTGATGGACCTAGCTCTTATAATTCTTAAGAAAAGTAGGCCATACTTCATACTTTCATTTCAGCTTATTATCATGGAATAAGTGAATGGCATATTAGTTCAATTTCTAAGTCATACGTGGAAAAGCTATCCTGCGGAAAAGTGCAATAGAGTTGAGAGAAAACTAAAATCAAAGCGCTAATGTGCAAGACCATAAAAGAAAAACAAATTAAGGATCAGCGGCTCGTGGCTCCTTATACATGTCAAAACGCATTAGGCTCTCACACTCAACTAGGGGATTTGAAAGCACTTTAAAGTCCATTCATTCCATAAGCCTTATAAGCCATTATCTAGCATACGTATGAACTTTGAATATGCTGAATAGAATGAAAGTGAAGGAGAATACCCAGTTTAATACTGTCTTTATAAAAAAAGTGAGGCGGTAGAAGTTACAATGAAATTAGTGGTGCAAAACAGGTATGAAATATCAAACAATCCCATTTAGGAATTGCCTAACCTACCCATTCCATAACCTTTTAACCATCCAAGAGTTTGAAGTATTTCAAACACACTGTACACTGCCAAACGCCCCCTGATTAGAATATTCAGAACCAAACAGCAGTGCACTTCCAGTGTTTAAGAATATTCTAGTGTGGGAAAATAAGCATACAAAAAGGAAAAAGAATCTTACCACAACGGAGGCGCCGGTGACACTGAACCACGAGTTAGCTAGAGTGGAGCCAGCAAGCTGAAGGACACCAAGGTGACCGGCGAACATGACAGAAACCAAAGCGACTAAGTAATATGACGCGTTTGTGAGAATCATAGGTAGTGAAAACATGAGTTGGTTCTTGGCCTCCTCCGGGTCCAAGACTTTGCTCCACCACCCATAAACAGCGTTAATTCTTGTGTTCTTGTCCTTCTTCCCTAACATCAGTGACCTCTGATAATAGAGGCTTGGATAGTGTTTCTTTCGTCATTTGAACCTTGTCTTCCAACATCTTTTCTATCCTGTCTTCGCTATTCCTTCCTCTGCCCTCTGCGTGGTCTTGAATTGGAACTTGGGTTGATCAATTTAGAGAAGACTATGAGGGAATAAAGAAGTGGATGAAAATATAGGCCAGATCTTTTCTTTATTTTGTTGACCATATCAAATTAAAAATTTACAAAATATTACCTCCTATCTTTAATATAAGATCCTGTTTGACTTTTATTTATCCTAAATATAAGATCCCAATCCACTTTGTCTTTGTCTTCATTTTATACATTTTTTTTCAAAATAGTCCTTCTAACAATGATAGTTCTAGTTAATACACTTGATTAGCAAGGATATTTTAGGAAAAACAACACTTATTTAGGATAAATAACTAACTCAACTCAACTTACTTCCTTATTCTTCTCAACTGACTCTTATATTAGGATCGGAGATAGCATAATGAATCCACATCCACAATGTAAGAACATAAAAATGGCTGGGCTGAATATCTGAGCATTATTTGATTGTAGTTTTACGTTCAACCAGTTGTCCGTTTTTCCAATGACGATGGTAATAAAAAAAATTGTGGCAGTTGCGGTTTTTAGAGTATATGTTCTCATTTATAATTTTTTTTTCCAAAATACTACATTCAATTTTTTATACGATCCTGCTGGCCCAAAAAAAAAATTCTAAGACCAATTAACCGAATCACATAGTTTTGAAAATCTGTTAACATTAATTAAAAATAATAAATACATAAGAAATGTTTTTTTTTCCAAATACTATTTATAAGAGGGGAGCTTCAGAGAAAATTATGAGGAAAAAAAAAATAATGTATGAAAAAAATAATATAATTAATTGAGGATAAAATTAATAAAATGCATTTAATATTTAGGCAACACCAAATTGAATTTTATAAAAATACTGGACCAATTTAAAATTTTGAATTTTATAAAGAGGAGCGGACGCAACAAATTTTTGACAAGTTGCGGGTTGCATTAGCGGCTCTCTTTATTAGATTACTATGTTCTCATTTATAAGATATTTTGTTAAAATATTTTCAATGTTTTATTTAATAAATTATTTTTAAGAAAATAATAATTCATTGACGACTTTCTTCGAAGAATATATTTTATTAATAAGTGTGAGTTAATTAAGTATTAATATTAAATGAATGATATTTTTAGAAGTTTATAGTTCTTTGGAACAAAATTAAAGTTTTTAACTACATTTAATGAGATTTATTGATTTCATAATTTATTAAAATTTCTTATAAATTGATCAGTAGAGAGTAATATTATTATATTTTTACGATTTCTTATTTAATTTTTTCAAATAGAAAAATAATCTCTTCATGTTTAAAATAATTTCTTTTGATTCCAATACATATCCCTACCTACGCTACAAAAGCGTCCCATGTTGAAATGTTTGTTTGTTTCCTACACATGAGGATTCCAGAAATATTGATTTTCATAATTCATTAAAATTTCTTATAAATTGATCAGGTAGAGAGTAATATTTATTATATTTTTACGATTTCTTATTTAATTTTTTCAAATAGAAAAATAATCTCTTAATGTTAAAATAATTTCTTTTGATTCCAATACATATCCCTACCTACGCTACAAAAGCGTCCCATGTTGAAATGTTTGTTTGTTTCCTACACATGAGGATTCCAGAAAAAGATACCGTATGGCACTAGTTTGTCAGGATGATCAAAAACATCATTATACGTCTTAATTCTAAGAAAATAAGAAAAGCACTGTGAGCTTACTATCAAAAGTTATCAATAATAATTTTTTTTCTTTAGATAGATGCATGCACAAAAATTAGTATTCGAACCGCCACTCGTGAAATTCGCTTTAAAGAGTGTGCGCTTTTTCCACCTCCTACATAATCACAAGTAAAGGGAAAAAAATCATCCCACATACTTAACTTTTTGGTAAAACCACTTGGAAAAAAAAAAATAATCCACACATTGAGCCAAAAAGAAAAAAATGGCTGTCTTTTGAAAGTTAAAAAGCTGCTGTTTCTGCACTGGGAATTTCACTTGCCACTCCTAGAGCCCGGATGAATGTTCTTTTCCAGAGAAAATAATTAATATGTGGAAGGAGATCGGAATAACTTGCATACTTAACACAGAACTTGCTGCTCAGGTTATTTCTAGGCCACTATCTCTGTGAAAATTTTGGATCCATACAATAGAGCGGGCCAGAAGGAAATGAGTATGACACGAACAGTATAAATTATTTTCCATGCTTAGCACTTAAAGCCAGGGCATTGTACGTTTTTGAACTAGCATCTAGATCGCATATTCAGGAAGTAGAAAGTAAACTCAAGATTTTGAGCATGTTTAGAAGACGAGTGAGAAGCAAAAGGGAGAGAAGATACCAACAATCACAGACAAACTTTAATGATTGAGCAAGTATCAGTAGTGTCACTCTTTCTTTTCTTCCTTGTTTTCTTGCTTCTCTTCTTTCACTTCCTTGGCCTTTGGTTTTCCCTTCCTGGGCTTCAAGAAGCAGAAGCATGAGCAACAGGGGCACTGAAACAAGAACTTCATCTCCTTTCTTGCTCAGAGCTCAAATCCCAGACAAAGGAAAACGGAAAACCTCAGCTTTCGAGCTTTCTCTTTCTACTTTCTTTTCTTAGCTATTTATGCTATACACTTTCTTTCCTCTCAAGTCTTGATCCAATCCTTGTCAACTATGATGCCTACCTAGTAATGATGACATCTGTAGAGTGATTAAGGGTGGCAGGTAGGTCAAGCTAGGTTGAAATCGGGGTGCTCAAGGACGACTAGTAATAAAACTCCTGATAAAAATATACTAACAAAATAGATAAAACCATCAACTCATGAAATTAAGATTTGAATCCCCGGTGGTGTAATCTTAATATGAAGAACCTAGTTTCAAGATTTACTTTTTAACACACCAAATTCTTCAAGGCTCCTTTCTCTGTCTAGCTGTAGTTATACATCCTCTTATTCTAAAATGATGAATGCAATATGCAGTTGTCTCTTCCAATTAACTTAGAAGTCTTTAACGTCTAATGAGATAAAAGCCTGTAACTTGTGGATTCACTATCTTACTCGCACCTTTAGCAATGGTGTAATCATTATCGGCAAACCAGAAACTTCCACCCAGATGATGCTTGCGGTGAATTGAAAACAAATCTCCCAGAATCTTAAAGTTCTATAAAATGATAACATTTTACAGCACTTAGATTGCCATCGACCCATATGTCCTATGATTATATTTTTGCTAAGCATTTCCTTTCGTACATTGCAATCTCATTGATTTCAGTAAATGCCAATTCCAATTTCAGTTGTTTGCCTCGCGAGCAGACACAAAGTTGCCATAAGACTAATCCGGATGAGCTGCTTGGACATTTTATTTTCAAACCGTGCAGCTTAGAGTCGAGAAGATGATTTCTTCCCCTTGGGCCCCCTACGATAGTCATACCCCAACCCCTACCTCGTTTTCTTCCAAGTCGGCCAGCATCAACATACTGAATTAGTAGAGGGCAGGGTGTGTATTTATTGTCACCAAGGCCAGCGTGAAGAACTCTCATTATTGACAGGCAAACATCCAATCCAATGAAGTCTGCAAGCTCCAAAGGACCCATTGGATGGTTAGTTCCCAGCTTCATTCCTGCATCAATATCCTCTTTAGTTGCAACTCCAGTGTAAAGAGCAAAGAATGCTTCGTTTATCATCGGCATAAGGATTCGATTCACTATGAAGCCAGAATAATCCTGGGAGGTTATTACTGTCTTGCCCAACCTGCATGTTTTGAACTAGTAAATTAGAGCAAACATGTGATGATGTACTTATCAAGCTATCTCTGACATAAAAAGGGCCAGAAAGTGTCTTCATTAAAAGAGAGAAGTGCAAAAGGAGAGGAAGCTATATCAGCTTCAAAGGGCATCCAATGTCCAGTCTACCACATCATGGTCATACACACAGCATTTAACTGTTCGTGTTTACATTTCTTTGTGGGGCAGAGCAGCAGGAGGGAGATTAGAAAGTTAAGGTTATAAAGGAAAATTAGAATAAAGAATTAGAGGAATCAAGATCTTCAAGAAAGGGCAGGGGAATTAAGGGGAAAATCACATCCCTTTCACAATGGAGAATGGTAAATAACTAACCTCTCAGACAATGCTTTTGTTGCCTTGAATGTCTCTTCTGAAGTGTCTGCGCCTCTCACAATCTCAATCAGTTTCATGACAGGAGGCGGATTCATAAAATGCATCCCTATCACCTACAGATAAAATCAATTACTTTTAACAAATCATTAATGAGCTCACAGTTATCAAATGGACTGAACCATCTGTTGAAGCAACAAATTTTGGTAGCAGGGTTTTGCCGAAACAAAATCTGTAGCAATGAAAACAAAACTTCAATCTCAAAACACGAAATGCATCCTATAAAAAGACCTGTTGTGGCCTGCTTGTTGAAGATGCCAAACGAGTGATTGAGATGGAACTTGTATTAGACGCCAAAATGGCAGAACTCTTAGCAATCTTGTCTAGCTGAACAAATAAAGTTTTCTTTACATCTTCTGATTCTACAATAGCTTCAATGATAAGATCAGCGGAACGGAGGTCTTCCATATTCGAGATACACCTCAGACGCCCCAAGATATCAGAACTCTGTGCCTGTTAGACTTCGATACTTAAATTATAATGACCAAAACAATGAAAAATACTAAATTCATAAGGAGAATGATTTTCTATAGTAAGTTAACATAAAAGGGCATCGCACATGTTGATCTACGAAGAATTTTATCGAATTTTACCCACATAAGCATTTTTTACAACAGTTCGACTAATAATTCTGGGCTTGCACGTGATGTCACTGTCTTTGTAGCCCAAGCTGGGACTAAAGCATCACTCTCTAAATCATCAAAACTTGGCCTTCAAAAAATGAAAATTTAATTCCAATATTCGATAAAGTTGGTGATGCAGGCTTCCCCCCTCCCGGGTTTCAACTTAGAATGGCCGCCTCTTAATTTAGAAAAGCGACTAGTATGATTAACAGGAGCAGAGAAACATTAATATTGATCTGATCGATTTAGGGGGTCAGGGGGTATTAAGTGACTACATATTCAAGATCAAACGAGAAAGGAAAATACATGACAGATGGAAAGCAGTATCACTCACTCAGACCCCAATTCCCGTTCGAAGGATACCATGCAAAAACATCCAATATCCGCTTCCAATCAGTCTTGATGCTTAGAAACATCAACACAGTAGCAGAAGCTAGGTTCAATAATTCTTCACGAGCTTTTTAGAGCCATGGCAAGAAGTTGAAGAGGGGAAGTTTCTTACATGGGAGAGACGACCTTTGGAAACAAGAAAGATTGATGGAGGCAGAGATAGAGGAGGTGGCTCTGACGAGGGCTTGAGGGTCGGTGTCGAAGAGGGAGACGTTGATACCATGCATGGCGGCAACCTGCCGCTTCCAATCAGTCTTGATGCTTAGAAACATCAACACAGTAGCAGAAGCTAGGTTCAATAATTCTTCACGAGCTTTTTAGAGCCATGGCAAGAAGTTGAAGAGGGGAAGTTTCTTACATGGGAGAGACGACCTTTGGAAACAAGAAGATTGATGGAGGCAGAGATAGAGGAGGTGGCTCTGACGAGGGCTTGAGGGTCGGTGTCGAAGAGGGAGACGTTGATACCATGCATGGCGGCAACCTGGGCAATTCCGGAGCCCATTTGGCCACCTCCCACCACTCCAATCGTCTTGATTTCCGCCATCTCAACGGGTTGGCCGAGCTGCACAGTGAGTTTTCTGCGCCAGGAAGAGAGACCCATGAAATGGTTGTCCTTTGTGGATAGTGAATAAGAATAATATTTATATTTTATTCTTAGTAATTACTGTTATCTCGTACAAATAATCAAAGTATGTTGATTAAAAAAACAGTTAAAATTAGTTAAGAATAATTCATGTGTAGAAAGTATAATTTTTTTTCAAAAATACCCTCATTAATAAGGAGAGAGCATGAGTGAGAACAATTAAATTATTAAAATAAAGAGAAGTGGGAGGGGGAGAGAGTGTGAGTTGGAGATAATAAATATGGATAAAATAGAAAATTACCACAAAAAAATAAATAGAAACAACTTTTAAGTATCTCCTATATATAAAAACATGCTATAAGTATCAAATATCTTTTATAATAAAAAATGGGAGTAGTACTAAATATGAATGCTAAAAATTGCAACTTTAGTGGGCACCAACCCCCGGACCAACCCTTTTGGTAATGTACTAATTATTTTGTCCATGTGCAGTGTATATACGGCTAAGATCAGAGATTTCGGACATCCTCCGTGGCGCATGTCGCAATAACGGGGCCCAGAGAATGGTCCCCTATTATGGTCTTTTTCTTTTAAGTAAGACAAGAGGAAAGCATTGTTGAGGCCTAACTCAGCCATTTGTTGGCCCATGTTTTTTGGGCCTACTAGCCATGAAGTCATAATGGAAAGTAAACCAGAAAGAAAATGTCTGAGTTTTTTTTTTTTTACTCAAAAATATCCTCCATCCAAATAGTAAAAGACTAATCTCTCAGGTACTAAGTACTATCAGGCACCGTAACGGAGGACCCTCCTAACAGTATTTTTTCCATACACACCACCTCAAGGATCAAACCCAGCAGAATTTTAAGGTATCCAATTCCTTTCTACTTAAACCAATATGGACCAACACTTGTTGGTGTTTGAGCTTCTTTTTTAACTTATAGCCTCTGCATGTTACGGGGGGGAAAAAAAGCCTTTACATCATATTAGTATGCGTATACGTTATCCATTTGGTATGGAAAAAGGGATGCAAGTTTTATTATCTATTTTCTCAAACAACTCATAGAATCTGATGAACTTATTAAGTGGACATGATTCGTAAGTGTTAAAGAACGGATCTAAAATCCATGTGGCTGAATAGACCGTACATATATATTAGTATATCCTTTCCTTCTTCCTTGCTAGGGTTGCAGATTTTGCAGATGCTTACAAGTGTCCTGCAAGCTTCAGAGCTACATCTCCACGAGTAGATGACTCATTCTCATCATCTGTGCTAATTCCACCACGTGTCACCGACCCAATTACCTCTCCCCCATCTTCCTTTCTCTGTTTTCTACCCTCTTTCACAATATTATAAGTCACCCAATCACACAATCAACCCTCGCCACCATCTTCACAACGCCAAACAGATTTCCCCTTCTCTCGCCTGCATAATTGTTTCTATTCTTTAGAATTAAAGGTTGAAGGGGTACTATACCCATAATTTACCATGTTGGATCCTCTTGAATTTGATGCTTTCCTTCCTATACTCACCGGTTGCAGATTTTGCACATACTTACAGGTGTCAAGCAGACTTGAAAGCTAAATCTCCAGAAGTTCATGACTCATTCTCAGCATTTGTGTTACTTCCTCCGCCACGTGTCACCGACCCAGTTACCCTTCTCCATCTTCTTTTCTCTGTTTTGTTTTCAGCTCTCCCTCATAGTATTATAAGTCACACAGTTGCACAAATTCATCATCTTCACTCAGAAAAAAATGGCAAACAGATTTCTACTACTCTCTCTCCAATTCACCAAACAATTCTCCAAACCATCCATTCATGTTTTCCTTCAATCGCCTTGATCACCACCAGCTCAATGTGCTTCTCAACTGCTTATCCACGCCCTCAAGTACTGTGATCTGGTCCAATATCTGCATCAATAGTTCAGTATCATTTTCAGTTTTTCTGAGATCCTCATAATTTTTTTTTTCCAGGGTCATGATGATGAGGGTAGTGGAATGTCAGGGTACGTGGCTGATGCAGCAAAACAAGGGACAAGGAAAGCAACTGAGGTTGTGGAGAGTGTCGGTGGAACAGCCAAGGAGACAGTGGATATTGCATGGGACGCTACAAAGAAAGCTACCCAGAACATCAAAGAGACAACTACGGCAGAAGCTGATACCAACGTTGTTGACACAGCAGAGTACAGATGTGCTGAGGATTTGACGGGCCAGCTTGGAGATGGATGTGATAAGACAGAACTATAGCTAGTGGCAAGTTTTGTACGAATATTAGGTTCAATTTTGTGCTTTGTTTCCTTTTTCTAACAAGCTGTGACGTTCACTTACTTTGAACTAGTTGTAAAGCGAAAACATTGTAGAAAAGGAGCTTGATATTTTGAACCAGTGATCATTGATCAGAGGACATTACAGATTCATAAACTAGTTAGTTTAAGCCATTGAACTTGTATTTTAACTAGACTAATTTCTTGACAAATTGAGATATAAGCGGATAGATTCTGAGACTCAAGTTGGCATGAATATTTTCTGGGAAAAAATAAGTCAATTATGGACCTTTTGAGCTTATCACTTGTACCTAAAGTTGGCCAGAATCAGATACGCACAAGTCCTCATATAAAGTAGAGTAGCAAAAATGACAAGCCATGAATCAGAGAAAAGACAAGTTTAGAAAAGCGCAATAGCAAGATTTTCTGTATCTTTCAATAAGGCTGAAAGGAAACTTCGTGATCATATACTTCATAACTCGGCTGTGAAAACCAGACGCAGGCTTTAGGCTTTATTCATCCAAAAGCTTGGGACCAACAAATTCTATGCTACTTGAAGAATGTTCTACCACTACAAGGCTTTCTCTTACTTTTGTTCTTCCACATTAGAATTGTTCACAACTGTACTGCACAACGCAAAAGAAAACAACAACGAAAAAAGGACCCTTGGATATGATATCACAAACGTATTCTTCTTAGTCCACCTTATTGCAAGTCTTAACTATGTGACAAACAGAAGAAGAATAAAAGGAAGAGCGGGGGACCAAGCCCACTCACTAGGAGAATGATAGGTGTTACATTCTGATTCTCATGGACAAAAGAGGAAGAGGAAGAGGCAAGCAATGCAGAACTGAAAAATCTGGCGGATGTATAATTTTTATTTCTGCAAGTCTTGACGATGCTTAAGATATTAAATCTAGTGCATAAATACGTCACTGTCCTGCTGTACGTCTTAGATTAATGCTTGATCTTACCATTGATGAAGTAAAACCAAGTAGAACAAAGAGATAATGCATACCTAAATCCACTCAAAAGTTTTGCAATGTAAAAGTACAACAGGACTTAAACATAGGGCATAATCTTCCTATTTCCAAGTGATCTTCAACATCAACAATAAAGCATCTAGAATTGACTAGCTTGTATTTATCTGTGAGCCTATCATTTTCCAAACACCACCCATACAAGATCAATTCCCACTTACTGCAAGATTCCAAAGGTTCGTGTGGAAAATTACCAGAGCATCCAAAATCCTCCATCATGCCCCCATTGCCTCTCCTATACAGATACAGGCCAAAAAAAAAAATCTTAAATTGATACTTCTTTTTTTTTTGCCTTTTTTAAACTTAAATGGTCTGGACACTCTTAATCACCTTGTCTTTTCTACCTTTCTGCTCCCTATAATAACCTCCTTATTTCACTTCATTGCTCTTCAAAGTCACAAGTTTCTTCCTCATCATCATCATCCCCGCCTGTTTGTCAGGCGCACAATGGACAACAGAAGTATAGAGAGGAAACGACCATTCAATGAGAAGTCAAAGGATAAAATAATTGAAAAAGCAGAAGACGAAGAAGAGGAAGAAGATGAAAGGAAGAGTGTTACTGGTAGTCATGTAGAAGACGAAAAGAAGAAAGGGGTTGGTGGGATTAACAGAAGAGGATCAAGTGCCTGTCAAGCAGACAGGTGTGGAGCTAACTTGGCTGATGCAAAGAGATATCATCGCCGCCATAAAGTGTGTGAGTTTCATTCCAAGGCGCCTGTTGTGATCGTTGCGGGCCTGAGGCAGAGGTTTTGCCAGCAATGTAGCAGGTGATTCATCCTAGTCATCTCTTCTCTTCATCTGAATCCCTAGCTTCATCATTTTACCATCAATGTTGGACTTGATCTTCGTGTTCTCTAACATTAAATTAGGAATTTTGCTTCTGAAATCCATTGTTTTTCTCAAAGAATCATGATTTAAATCTGCTGCTTTTATAATGATCATCTTATAAGGTACTATGATGGGGAATGTGCAGGTTCCACGACATAGGGGAATTTGATGAGGCAAAGAGGAGCTGCCGGAGGAGATTGGCGGAGCACAATGAGAGGCGGCGGAAAATTAATTCTGAAACTCACAATGATGGCGGCGAAAGTCATCATCAGAAACCAATGGAAGGGCGTTTCAGGCATGTTGATGACAGAGGAAGAAGAGTGAATTAGATGGACGCTAATTCTGGGAATTGGAGCAGCAAGTCTTTCCATATCAGATAAAGCTAAAGAGCTCAGCAGCAGGCTCTCTGTCTTCTGTCATCTTCTGCCTCCTTACCTTGCTTGCCAAGGCACATGCATAACAGCTTCTGTTATAAGAATAAATAAAGCATCCAACTCACAGAAAATGGTGCATTTTTTTGTTTTTAGATTTACAACATGTGAACTAGTTTGAGCGTCCCTTATTTTAGTGATCTCTACTCCTAATAAAGAACCCTTTTTTTTTCTCTGCAATAGAGGGCTAGAGTCCGAAGAAGCTAACAAATTAACAATGACGGGAATCTAATCCCAAGCACGCGTCATAGATCAATAAATTCTGGGTCATGTAATAAAACAAGTCTTCTTCCCCCAAAGAGGAGATTGTTTATTGATTCAAAATAGGTTTGATAATTTGGGCCAAAGCGAACTTGTTTCCTTCACAACACTGGACGTAAAGCAACAATGAAGTGAAACATTCTGTAGATTTGGTCATTGGTCCATCCTACCAAATCCAACCCATAGGCTAAGTACATCCATAAGTCCGCAGGCCTAAGTCCCAACCAAGTTTAACGGAGTTTCTATTTTAAAGTTAGGAACTGTCCTCACGCAAATGACAAATCATTTAACTAATGTGAAATCCAATGAAAAAAAATTTTGTAATATTTTTGTTAAAAACATCACTTAATTATCTAAAAAAATCATTTCAAACTTTATTTCAATGAAGTTTAAATTGTGTTAAAAATTATAAATTTAATTCATTCCAAATTGTATAAGCCAACTACTTCAATTACTCAGATGTCTATGCTATAATTATTACATTATATAAAAAAATTTATACATATATGAATAAATTGATGAAAATAAATGTAATTGCACATAACACATGCTCATCTATCAAGCAGGTTGGTATAGTATATGTTTATTTGTGAAGATCATATGATTAATTAAAAAGAAACACACACACACACTGTCTCTCTCTCTCTCTCTATCTTCTTCTTATTATTATTTCAAATAAATCGGTATACAAAAAATAATGCAAAAACTTTGGCAAGTAGGTGCATAGAAAATGGTGCTTGACAAATTCAAAGGTATAGTCAAAAGAGAGCTAAATAAAAATGGAGTCATGAAAATCATGGAGGCTCTTAAACAAGGCTGTGTTGAAACCGATGGGGTTTGCCTCATAATAGGCTTCACAGGTGTGCTTTGCAAGTAAGATTGAGAAATAATTTGCTTGGGTTGGATCAAAAGACCAACACGATAAATCTGGCTGACCTGTGGTCCCAGAGGCATCATCATCTAAAGTGGGACCCCATGTCTTCTTCCTCACAAACCCTAATCACACAGACCAAGCTATTCCCTAATCCCCACTTTGTCCCCTCCTTTAATTTCAGACTCATCGTCAAAGAGAGCCCTTTGATCATAATCAACACACTCCCACATCCCTCGCCTTATTTTATATACCTTTGACAAGAGCCTTTGCTTCCTCCTGCAATCAAAGCTAGCCAATTGCGCTATACTCTTCCCCACCACCACCACTCCTCACACATATATATATTTATAGCCTCTCTTTTTCCTTTTCTTCTTTCTTCTTTCTTTTGTAAATATGCTTTAATATGTATGGGAAAGGGCATATTTGGGACTCTGTGTCACTTAGAAAAACCAAAACACAAAAAGCGAGCTGATCAGAGGGGCTATATATTGTCACTTGTTAATATTATGAGTAATCTATTCAATTGTACTTGGGATTAACGAAGACTGATGAATCATAATCAAACATGTTGTGATGGCCAAGAGACATTATGATTCTGCAAAATTTCCCACTTTCCAAACCCACTAAACCCTCTTCATCATCCATCAATCTCATTATATATTATTATTCACCACTACCCCATCTGTCATCTAATCTCCCACAACAAAAAAGCCTTCGTCTTTGCAATCATAGGTCATTTCCCACATTATTTATACACAGTACTAATCTATCCCAAGCAAGTTTAGTTATCCGCCACCATTTATCTATTACTTCAGGCTTGAAAGTAAACGTCAAGAGAACTTCATATTCTCTTTTCTAACGAGTCATCATCCAATTTTAATCCGATATGGACACATTAATGCAAAGAGATCATTTGTGTTTTCTTCCCCCTTTTTAGTGCAAAATCATGTGGCATACACTTACACATGTGAGAGGCTTAGAGCATGATTACAAACTATGTTAAACTTAAGATTGAGTTGTCGTCCTATGCCTTACATTATTCGCGCCACCTTAGTCTTCTCACTTTGAACCCAACATAACACCTTCTTTCCCTCCCACCATGTCCCACCTTCCTCTCTCTTTCTCATTTATTCCTCGTATCTTTTATATATATAAATGCTTCATCAACCTCACTGATCTATTCATCACTGCCAGTGTATATATATACAACCACACACCAACCGACCCTCCACACCCAGTACACCAGGCCACCTCCATGGCAAACCACCACGGGCCGCGGCACAACAATGGCTCCGGCGGTGACTCCTTCTCCTTCCCTAGCACTCCCAACCAAGACTCCTGCGCCGGGGACGACGTCGATGACTTTGAGTTCGGATCCTTAACCCCGGACTCTCCCTCCAGCGATCCATCTAGAGCCTCCCCGGCCGATCATATCTTCTTCAACGGCCGCCTTCTTCCTCACTCTTTCCCGCCACTCCAACCCCACCCCACCATTCTTCTCTACGACCATAATTCTCGTGCCGTGAGCCGAACCAGTAGCAAGAACTCGCGCTCCATGGTGTTATCATCGCGAAGTAACAGCACCAACAGTAGAAGCAGTAGTTGCAGCAGCGCGAGGACAAGCTCGAGTGATAGTTCTGAGCGAAGGTTGTTTTATAGCAGAGTGTCGTCGTCCGGTGGGAGACCCTGCCAGGGGAATAATAAAATGGCTTATGGATGTTCACAGAGGTGGCAATATATAACACCAGTGCCGGCCACCGCCTTGAGCCGAGACTCGTCGCTTCGGAGGAAAGGAAAGAAGGAGGACTTCGTGAACAAGAAGAAGAAGAGGGAGGATCAGAGATTTCCGTTTGGCCGGAGACTTTTCCGGTGGATTGTGATGGCATGCAAAGAGTGCCACGCCTTGGAGCCGTCGAGAAAAGAGAGAATAAAGTTGCGAGAGAATGTGAAATAATGATATAGATTTTAATTTCACCAAATTAACTAATTTAGTCCTCATTTTATATTCTCAAAACAAAATAATAAATGCACAGGTTAATTTGCAAATTCGTTACTTGTTAGTTCTTTCAAAATGCTGAACCTTCGGAGGAAAGAACTGGCATATATTGCTCTCAAATTCACTTGTGTATTTATTAAATCTCTTGAGAATGCGGTTAAATGTTTAACCTGTTCACATTTGTACTGGTGAGCTTTTTTTCCTTTTCCTTTTTATGGGTGCATCATATCCTATTTATATATATATATAGGATCCTCGGCTCTAATATGATGATGTGCATATCAGCTTAGCCCTTGATTTGATTTCTTTGTTTTTGCATATGGATGCGAAAAAATACTTTTGTTTCGATCTCCAAGGATTGACCAAAAGGGTATATAGTTTGATTTTGAGACATTGTATGAAAGAAAATTAAGATTTGCATTGGCTTGTCGGTCATTGAGTTGTTCTCTTATAAGATCTAGTAGATATATGATCTGATATCACTATATTATTTTCCAAGGTGCATACCTAATCTAGGCAATCCCGGTAAGGGAGATAAAACTATGATTGAAGCGGGTGGCTGATTTCGAATTTCTGTACGAAAAATAAATGGACTGCCCAAAGCGTAAGCTGCTTTCTTTTAATCGAGTACTTGTTTTGAAACATAGCTTTCATCTTTTCATGGATGTAGGAAGTCAATAATGGTGGGTACGTGAACACCAGGGCATCCAGGAAATTTGCTTGCTTATTTTCGATTAAGATTAGATAGAAAGACAAACGACAGCAACGTATGAAAATTCTTATCTTCACGTTATATTCGTAGGTACATTATTCCGATCAGGATCAATCCGATCAAAACTGGTCATAGAACAATCCAATATGAAGTTCTTTGGAAAAATTTTCGTTCCTGTAATGGATGAAGTTTTCTTCCATACATGCCACTGAAATTGCAGGCCTCTGGCACCCTGCATTGTAAAGTATGGTATACGTGGGGAGTTGGATGGATCAAATGCATAACAAAGGAAGCTTTATGTGAAGCTGAACTTAAAGGAATGATCATTACTAAAGTCCGATTAGGTCAAAACACAAACACAGGATTACAATGTGGAAGAAGGCAAAACACATGGTACGGAAAAAGAAAAAGAAAGGAACACTAGTAATCAACCGTGCCTACATACAAACACCTTCTCATCCTTCTTCTTCCGTCTACTCCAACAAGGTCTCCATGACATCCGAGTACATACCTCCTTCGGGATTCCTATACTCCACAGGCGGTTGTTGTTGCTGATGATGATGATGATCCATGGAGGTTGATGAAGAAGATGAAGCCACTCTAGCAGGTAGAGTGAAGCTCCTCTTGAACTTGTCCATTTTCCTCCCACTTTCTGTCTGGTGGTGGCTGTCCAAGCTCAAGAACTCGTTAGGGTTTGAGGATTCATCTGGTTTGTTTTCTAAGCTCTCTGAATTGAACAAGAGCTTGGCAGCATCATCATTTTGTCCTGTGAGAGCATTGAAGAAGGACAGTCCATTTGGCCATTTTATGTCATTCTCATTCTCTCCCATCATGTCTTCCATTCTTGCAGGTTGATCAGCTGACGAATGATGAGCCATCAGAAACACATGGGGCTCGTCTTTGGTCTGTGGGAACCCTCCAAGTCTTGCCGTATGTTGAAAATTGGGTGAGGATAGCATTGAAGCTGCGGCTGAAGCTACGAGTGGCCTTTGACTCCAGTTGAAAAGAGGAGGAGGCGCTCGAATCGGCATGGTGGAGGACGGTTTTGAAGGGAGCAAAGTTGAAGATGAAGTGTTTCTTGTTGAAGAGAAGAGCTGTGAGAGGTAGAACCCAGATTGATACCCCAGAGATTCGAATGTATGCCTCATTCTCAGCACAAAATGGAGGTCTTCAGGAATCTGAAATTAATAGCAAATCAGGATATATATATATATACACACACGTCACAGAATACCATAGTATGTGATGTTTTGAAACTAGAAAGGTATCTGTCATCTTAAAATCAGTATCACAGAGAAATCCACTGACATCTCAAGACCAAAATGTACGGTTAAGATGAACAGGTATTAAACACAAAATGTGAGCGTGTGAACGACAGAAAACGAGTGGTGGTACTCACAATCTTGCAAGAGCCAAGTTGGAGAAGGCCATGGCCAGCTTGAATTACAGCGATGGTCTGGTTCATGAATTGAATGCCAATAAGAAATCAAAGCTAAAAAAAGACTGAAACTTGAAAGCTCTTTTGCAAAGAAGCTTTCTGGAAAACCAATAATAATGTCAAGATTTAACATTGATTCTCTTTTGCTGACCTGAATGCCTGATTCAAACTGGTCGGTCCATTCAGGAGGGAGCTGCAATTAATGGCATCAAAAAGAGAGGGGATTGAGTCAATCAATCACTACGTAGCTACAGATAACCAAGAAAAAGGCTAAAATTAAATGCTAGATTCTCTTGTGCTGGGAAAAAAAAAATTTATATTTTAAAGGGAAAAGAAGGAAGTGAAAGTATCATCGATTTATCATACAGCATCAAAGGAACTCTGCCAGTAGTTGGAGATGTTGGGTTCACATTCTGTTGGCTCTTTGAAGACCCACTTGTGGCACTTATCAGATGCAACCTTTCCCATCAGCCTATTTTTACAACCAAAAAAAAAAAAAAAAAAAAAACCATTTAAGACCCAATCAGAAACACGGACAAGAGATGAGAAGATGAAATTTGCTTAGTGTACTAGCTTTTAATTCCTTCCAACCACATGGTATCATCAATCAGATGTTGTTGGTCGGAGACGCAGAGAGACAGGGAGAGAGAGTAAATAGTAACAACCACAACAACATATAAACACCTACCCAGTACCCACCCTTCTCCATAATTATATAACTGAATGGACATTTTGCTGAAGGCTTTTCTGACAGGATCCTCTCCTTCCATCTCCTCCAGACAATCTGAAACCCTTCCTCGGCAAAACCCATCTTCCCACATCAGCATCCTTCGCACAAATTTCACCCAACAAAACGCACGTCAATTCATAAAAATATCTAATTTAAACAGTTCAGAGAATCACTAATGACTTAGCATCAAGTTTTACAAAGTTATGTAGCTCGTAAGAACAGAACTGTACACTCTGTTTGGATGCCAAGAAAGTAACCAAGAGAACAAAGAGCAAGTTAGCTGGAGCTGAGTATTTTAAGAAAAACAGAGAGAAATTAAGAGAAAAGAAGCTTACAAGCTGCCGTTATCGTCCCCAACCTTGCAGCCATTACCTCCTCTGACTCTTCTGCAAGAAGAAGAGGAAGAAGTTGAGGGAATGAAACCATGGCATTAGCAAAAAGAAAGGAAAAGGAGAGGAATAAGAAGGGCATACGGGCGAGGACGGATGGTCCAGAAGACAGAGTAAGTCCAGTCTGAGTTGAGACAGACGGTTCTGAGGGCCTCATGAAGGGCCATCATCCCAACAGCTTCTTTGCTCCTATCTGATGCTCCTGAGCCCACCATCTCTTTCTTTCTCCCTCGTTCTCTTTCTAATCTCACTATATACCCTTTTTCTCCACCCCCTTCACTATTAATTCCCTCCCTTTTGTCTTCTTTTTTTTTTCCCCTCCTTCCTTCCTATTCTTTTTTCACCTCTTCTTCTTTACTGCGTACGATCTCTAAAACACCTCCCTTTTAGCTGCTCTACAATGCTTAACCACCCCAGAGAAGACCAATTCTTCGTCTCAACCAAGTTGCTATCTTTTCATTTCAAACTTTACTTTGGAATTACTTTTGTGCTGTGAGGTCTGTCCTGAGTCTGTGAGAGGATGTGCTGGCCCAGAGAAGGTTAGTTCGGGAGGAGGAGGGAGGTGAAAAGAGGGATTGGGAATGTAGTAAGTATGTAACCATGAAACGCTGTGGGGACAGCCTTTATCCTTTTTCTCTGTCTCTTCCAGAGCGCAACACAGGTGAAAGGAACGGGGAAGGAAGAAGAGCCAGCTCGCGCTCTCTCTCGCCCCCCCCCCCCCCCTCTCTCTCTTCTCTACCAATTCACATTTTTACCCTTTTGTCTCTTCCACAAAATTCATCTTCAGAAAGTAGGTTACTTTGGACTGCTAGCTCAGCTCTCTCCTTGATATTTGAATCCCATTATTCTCACCTCTCTTTTACTGTCCCAGGACGCATCAATCATCGGATCCTGATCTTCATATGCTGCGGGCATTACTCTGATGACTTAAAATATAAATTAATTATGTTAAAAAAATTTAGTTATATTTAATAATAAGTATTAAAAACATTTTAACATGTACATAATTAATAAAAATGTTTTAAAAAATTATAAATTTAAAAAAAAAATATTGGAGTTTTAGACTCAGAATTAAAGTGAACTTTTTATCTGGTTTTTTATATCATGTGCCGGTAATAATTAATTTATACTTTTTGAGTAATATCTGGCCAACAAAATTGTAAATAGTATCATTTATAATAAAAAAAATTTAAGAATGAAATATGTCACGAAATTTATGTTTTTCTATTAATTATTTAAAATAATTTAATTTCTTATGTAAGTGTTTGTATTTTTTTTAAGTGTTTGAGTATGATGCGAACTCAACATATAATATCTGATCCAAAAAAAAAAAGAACTCAACATATAATAAAATATAGAGCAAGAAAAAAGTATCTCATATTATTGAAAATGACATTGATCTTTCAAATTCGTGTAATGCACGAAGAAGGATGTGCAATTTCATTTACCTACCGAGAAAAATGATATTCAATTCCAATCTGCTTTTTGGGATGAAAGGGGACTACCGGCCTCAACGGAGAAGGGCTCGCTTTAGATTTGGTGATAAGCATGTCCTTTGAAAAAAAAAAATTTAATTCCATTTCTGAGAAAATTATTTGATGAATAAAGAGTCCTAGTATTTATATACTGCAATAATAACTATTCCTTAAAAATACATGCAAAAAATCGACTAGTTTCGTTTTAATGCAGAGGTGGGGGAATAGAGTCCCAAAGGTGAAGATCTAATTTTACCATATTTTATCTGCAATATTCTGTTGTTAAAAAAAAAAGGGACAAACTTCATTGTTATTTATTAGTATAACTGAAGGGGTTATATTTCCAAATATAGAGTAACACTTGTGTCTTAATATATTTATTATTATTCACTAGACGTGGAATAATAGAAATTGCATGATGCATGCATATGTGATTTGTAGCTAATTTTTATATCAATTTTGTGCTTGCTTTATACGAATATTAGTGATGCTCATTGCCCCTCCAATGAAAGATAAATACAAATTCTCCATTAAGTGGGGAAGTAAAACTTATAGAAAAGAGCTTGGTTCAAGAAAGTTATAATTTGGCCAAAAACAAAGAAAGAAAGAAAGAGGGTAATTCAAATAATTTCTCTAATATTTTATATTGATGTACCTAAATACCTTTCATAATTAAAATCCTTAAACACAGAATTTGTTTAATGACACAAAAATATGCATCTTTTTAAAAAAATACTATTACCGATTCTTAATATAAAAACTTGTTTGACTTTTATTTTGATCCTAATATAAAAACTCTAATCTTACTTTGTTTCTTTTATTTATTTATTTTTAAGACAGTCTTTAATAATAGTAGTTCTAATCCTTTCCTTTAATTAGCAATAATTTTAGAAAAGATAACATTTATCCATTACAAATAACTAATTTAATTAATTTTTTAATCTACACAAATTAATCAACTGATGTTATATTAATTACTGAAGTTAGTACTTCTTTTTTTTTTTTTTTCACCTGAAAGGCTGAAAGCATTTCTATTTCGTTCTTGTTCATTTGATGCGTGAAGACATGCTTAGGACATCGCGTCGTGCACATAATGGCTTTTTAGTGAAAGAAAAGCTGCTAACTATCAAATAATAATTAGAAAAATTATTACGCGGTACATATAACAACAAATTTTAATATTAAAAATAACAACAGATTCATATTACCATTTGTTGTTGAAATTTCCTTCATAATTACATGTCGAAATCTTACAATAATTTATCCATGACATCTTGAGTTTATGTATATCTAACCTATCACGATGTAACTTAAGAGCATGAATCAATTGAACCCTTAAACCGCTTTAAGAATTTTATATTTAGCTAACACAATGTGCATTACAAAACTCTATAGACATTCATTAACATCAAATATAATATTGATAACCAGGTCGTGTGCATAGAAAATGTTTTGTTGAGAGGCAAAACCCATTTCGATGATCTCTACGTCTCGGGAGAATTAGTCTTTGGCTATTGGTTAGGGGATACCTCTAGTTATACCAAAAAAAATATTGATATATATATATATATATATATTCAATCATAATTTTATACTTTTTGCTTTAGCATCGATTTAAGGAACACAATCACAAATAATGCTCTAGTGGGGGTGCGATAATATAGAAAAAATGAACCACTTTGTGGACGAAAAACGCCACGACCCATCTAGTCGATAAAACGAGCTTAATTTATCCTCGTTATTATTTTTTAATAAAATATTAATTAACAAGAATTCAGACAATTGACCTTATGAAATCCCACCCACCAAAACAAAGCACATTTGGTATTATCAAGAGTTGATCCAGTTAATAAGAAGTTGGTTTATAATCTATAAAGTCATAAATTTAAATCATAAGTATTTTATTTGTAAGCGATTTGTATTTAAAAACAAAAAAACAAAGCAACGTTTGGTGATCTCTATCTCACACACGCACACTCGTTGTCTCGCGATGAACACAAATAATTAAGAAGACGAATCTGTTCCATGTAGATTCTCCCTCATGTTTAAAAATAGTATCATTATTTTTTAGAAAGTTTTTATTATGTTTAAAAGGAAGAGGATTGGAGACACATTTAGGGGGTGTTTTTGGATAGAAACCAAACTATGATTTCAGAGTGCTTTACGGATTACGAAGTAAATATGTGGAGGAGATTATCTCGTTTTTGCGGAAAAAGTGCTTCTGAAACCACGGTTTGAGACACCCAAACAGGCCCTTAAATAAAAATAAAGGGAAGAAATTTTAATTTAAATAAATTTAACAGTTAATAGTTCTTTTTTTATAATCTCAATGGGTTAGAAGTGACTTATATTCTGGAAATATGACTGGTTTGGATGTGACAACTACTGAAGGAGGGGCTCTGAGATGAGTGCGATTTGGGGTGAAGAATTCCAAACAGGGCATTAAGGAGAAGTTGGTAATAAGAAAGCTGCAGGATAGAATGACAAAATTGAAATACGGGGGGTGGCAGGGAGATCTTCAGCAGTTAAAAGCTAGCGATCAGAGGCTTAGATTTGGATTAATATAATACCCATACTTATCTCATAATCTCATTATTATATTAACCTATGTCAGCACCTCCTTCACTTAACTACTGTTTATTTAATCTCTATTTTTTTTTTCTTTCTATTATTACTGTTGGAACTGCAAAAAGCCCTTGTCCCCACCCTCCCGTTCTTCCTTCCTGTTAAGGCATTGCGAATTTCCAATTTTACCCCTATGAGAAAAAAATATTATGCCTTCAAATCAACATTTGTTCCCCCAGTTTATTATAAGTACCATTCAACCACTTATGGTCCTGTACATGCCTTTTATTTTCTATAACACGACAATTTTGAAAAGTGTTATAAATTTACATTTTACGCTGGGGATTTAATCAAAATTCAAAGTGAGTTAGAGATGCATTGAAGTGCAAGATGGTAATTTAACAGAAGACTGGTCAAAACCCAAAAGCAAAGAAAGGAGAGGGTGGCCTCATGTCATCTGCATCGGAGTTCAGATGCAACCTCAGCTACTCATTCCCAATTGCAGCTATCCCTATTAATTAATTAATATAAATATCTACGCCCTCTGTGTTCTGCAGCTAATTAATTAAATTAACAATACGGAATATTGAGATTAAGCTGTCACGTGCACACGTGCCTTGCCAGTGAGTCGGTGCCTCGTTTCCCTTAAAGTAATGCATTTTTAGCGCACGATTTGCGGGACGTTGCGTCCCCCCAACCTCTCATCTATAACCCCCTCTCTTCACGCGCCATCACTTCACTCGCCATAATCCACGCTCTAGGCCCCTGTGCCGCTTGCTGCAGCCCGTACGATTAGAGCGTGCTGCTTATCTGCGAGTGAGAGAGCGTGAAATGAGGGGGCAAACGCACGCGTCAGTCTACATCGTTCGGCCTCTCTCTACTCCGCATTGACCGGCTCAGCCCTCGCTCTAACCTCCCCACGACCATATCTTTTGTGGACCCCACTCCTAAATCCTTTTACAAAATAAATCCTGACAATTAATTTTCCACTTAATTCTTTATATTTCTTCAAATCTAAAAAATAAATCATACTCTTCACATTTATTTATAACACTATTTTTTACTTTTCCATATTTTTATCAAGAATTAATATCTTTTAAATACAACATAATTTATAACACGATCTTTCAAGATTTTGGAAATTTCAAATTGAAAAGGTTCATTTTTTTTAATCATTTATGATATATTGTGTGTGGCATCGCTTCTTTTATTTATTTTACAGACGTTCTAAATTTTATCCTTATGAGGCTGTTCTTTTTAACTCTTTTATTGGTGGGGAGTCATTTCAGAGAGTTGCTTGTGAAGAATTAAATAATGAATTTAGAATAATATAATGATAATGATTGAGGGAGAATTCGAGGGTTATGGCAAACTAAAAGAAGCCAGAGTTGAAAATAATGATACGCCACAACTAAATCTCGTTGGATTCTCGTGTTGAGCTCTTGTCTTTACTTCAGCTCCCGCATGAGACAAAAACAAGGAGGAGCGATCTTATACCCTATGTATGCATTACCTCATCAGTGAATTTTAGCAACCTATCTCACTTTATTCAACTAATAATTCCTCTTATGCTCGTGTTGTTTTTGTTTTAATTGATTGATTAATGGTTAGGTGAAAAACCAACGAGCACGTACTCGTTTATCATATTATTGTTGCATCAATTGTTTAATCACTCATC